CCTCATGAGGACCCTGAGCCAGAACCACCCAGCCAGGTTGCCTCTGAATTTCTGGCCTGGGGTTGCGGTGGGCCAATCAGTGATAGCTGCTTCAAGCTGCTGCACTTTGGAGGCTCCAGCCCAGCCCTGGCTGCTGCTGTGGCTCCTACAGTGTGTTCAACACCTTTACCAGCCTCTGGTTCTTGGCCTTCGACCCCATTCTACCACCTATTTGAGCCAAAGGCCCTGGGCAAGTTTCTATGAAAGCTTTTTTTAAAAGGTAACAGCACATAGTAGAAAATTGATCTGTTCAAAGGAAATGAAGTTCTGAAAGAAAAGAAAAATAAAGGGAAAGGAAACTAATGATACTTTCCAGAAGCCCAAGAGGAACTTGGCCCACACCAGGAGGAAATTCTTGGGCCTTGGGGTCCCTCCTGGCATCATGATTTGGGGAACTTATTTAATCCCTTGAAGCCCTGGTTTTATTTGGAAATACAGGCATATTAATACCTATTCATAGGACTTTTGGTGATGACTAAAAATATGAAAAATGATAACTACCGTTTATTGGGTGTGTTGGATGTGCTGAGCACTGTTCCAAGGATTTCACATTCACTCCTCATAATAACCCTTTGAGTACTGCCCTTGTCCCCTTTTTTTACTTTAAGAAACTGAGGCACACAAAATTTACATTAGTAAGTACATTACGTGCCTGGCACTTAGTGGACCTCTTACTAAATGCTGCCATTAGCCTATCATTTAATCTTCTGACCCAGTTTTGACAGAGAAGGAAATGGGGCCTCAGTGAGATTTGGAAAATCTTCCAAGGCTGATTCAGGTCTTGGCTCCTGCCCTCCATCCACACTGAGTCGCTGAGGCAGCTGCACATTACCTGGCGCCCTCCTGTCCCCATCCTAGGCTGGGACAGGCTATTCTTCTGAGGTGCCCTCACCCCTGCTGGTGCTCCTGGCTGATGTGAATTCCTAACCACTCCTAGGTTTGGTATCGACCTAGATGGGAAGCCAAATTCACATCTGGCCCAGAAAACAACTTCAATGGACTGGCACAGCCTCAGCTTGTACTTTGCAAACTGGGGATGCCACATTAGACACACAAATTTCTAGCTTCTCTTATCAAATCAGAAGCCAGCTGGCCCTCCTGGATGCTGGGTCCTCTTCTGGGTGGAGCCACTGAGAGCTGAGCCCAGTGAACCCTCAGTGTCCTGCCCAGGATGCAGAGGCTGACGCCACCATGCACTGCCTGGGTATCCAAGTTCCGCCGTCGGCCCCCAAGGTGGAAGTGATCAAACCAGCTGTGCTCCCTGTCTTGGTGTCCAGCTGTCCTGTGTTCTGCTTGTCCTGGAGCCCCCCATCCTGATAGCAGTTCTGATGGTCTCCCTGGATAACTGGGCAAATAAGGATTGGCTACAGAACCTGCCCCAGACACACCCTATCTTAAGATCAGCAAGGAAACGGATATTTTCAAAAGACTGAGTATGTGTGACCTGATGTGTCTGCCCCTTTGAAGGAAACCTCTTCTCAGAGGAACCTGGCCCTGTCTGTCCCAGAGCCCAGCCTGTTGTAGGCCCCACTGGTGGGGGGAAGGCAGGCAGCATCACTGAGATGAGTGAGAAGGGGTGAACCCTGGCAAACAAAACCCTTTCTCACACACACGCGCGTGCACACACACACTCACACACGTACGCACTAAAGAAAGCGAGCTGGATGCGGTAACCACCCTGGCTGCAGCCCAAAGTCACTTGCTAAACCCTCAGTTCCTTTGCTGTTCTCCTCAGCTGGAGAGCCATGTGCAAGTTATTCCTAGTGGGAAAATGGAGAAGAAAGAACAGCTTATCACAGTCCATTACTTGGAAGTTTCAGTGCCAAGTAGTAGAAGGAAACAGGCTCTCTGGAACAAAGCTGGAGGGACAAGACAGAAATTGGGACAATGCTCTGTGATAGCAATTTGGCAGTGATTATCATTATATTAAATGCTCATAGCTTTTGCCTGAATAACCCCACCTCTGGGGCTCAATTTTGCAGAGATCATAGTAAGAGCAAAAAATACAACCCAGACAGCCACTGCAGCCTGTTTGTGATGAGGGAAACCAAAACAGCCCCCATGTTTACACATAAGCAAACGCTGAGGTCCTTCTACTTGTGGAAACCAAAGTGCTGTTAGAAAGACGTGGATGGACATAGGGTATGGACACTGAAGGACTCATTCTACTGGTATGGAAAAGAGCAAGCTGCAGAATACAACTTACTACCCACTTGTTTTTAACTATTGTGAAATTGGCAAGCAGTGCACATTAGGGGCTCCCAAAAAATGAGAGTGAATGATGTAGAGTATTGGGAATTCTGTGCACCACTCTACTTGCTGCCCTAGAGCCCAGGGAGACCTATAGGATGCAATGAGAAGAGGCTGGCCTTGCTCTATAAGGGCCTTCCCGGGCCGCAGTGCCAGAATCCAGGCAGGAGAAAGCACCAACAAACCCAAATGAGGGGCTCTCTATACAATAATTGACAACTATCTTCAGAGGAGTCCAGAAAACAAAGTCAAGGACAGAGAGGAACTTTTCCAGACACAGTGAGACTAAAGAGACAGGACAACCAGCTGCACATGTGGTTCTGAACTGGATATCTACAACAAAGGACATTATTGGAACAACTGGCTAAACAAGAAAGTGGCCTGTATTTGATTTCTTGGTGGTGGTGGTGTGTGTGTTACAGAAGATTGAACCCAGGGCCTTCTCACTGAGCTCATCTCCAGCCCTTTCTTATTTTTTGAGACAGAGTCTTGCTGAGTTGCCCAAGCTAGGCTCCAACTTACCATCCTCCTGCCTCAGCCTCTTAGAATGCTGGAATTACAGGCGTCCACCACCATGCCCAGCCTGTATTCATTTTCTATCGCTATATATGTGACAAAGTACTACAAATTTAACCCATTTATGTCAAAGATTGCAATTTTTAAAATGTTTGCATGAAATTCATATATGTTACCTAGAAAAATTCAAGGAACAAGAATTCAAAGAGAAAAAAATTCATTATGCCCCATTGTAGTGGGTGTTCCAAAATGGAACACTAGGCATTGAAGGATTAATGGTTTAAAACAATGCCCATTACCTCACAGTTCAGCAGGTGAGAAGTTGAGCAAGCTCAGCTGAGTTCTATGCTCAGGGTGTCCCAGGGCAACATCAAAGTGTCAGTGGGGTTGGTTTATTACCGAGGCTGAGGGAAGAATCTGCTTTCAAGCAGGTTGTTGGCAAAATTCAGCTCTGGCTGTAATTGTGTTTGTCCACTTTGTTGCTGGAACAAAATCCCTGACATATACAACTTAAGAGGAGGGGGTTATTTTGGCTTATGGTTTCAGAGTCAGTCCATGGCCTGTTGGCCCCAAGACAAACATCATGACAGCAGGGTGTGATGGAGGAAAGCTGCTCATCTCATGCAGCCAGAAAGCAGAGAGGGTTGGAAAGAACGAGAAAGGGCCAGGGACCAAATACAGTCCCCAGGGTCACATCCTCATGACCCACACAGATACTCAGAAGTGTGCTTTACTACTCTAAGTACCTCTCAAGCCAATCATGTTGATACTCTCACCAAGTCATCCAGAAACTGTGTCTAGTGGACTGAAGATTAGACAGAAGTAGTGTATCGTTGAGATGCTACTGAGTCATAGCGGACTCATGCAGTAGGGGAACTCACTTGCAGGACTCACTAGTATATTTGAGGCGATGGACCATCCAATGAGCAATTTACTCTCATATAATTCAGTGTAAAATAGGTTCTATGTATTGTTTTTTCTTTTCTTTTTATTTTTTTGGTACCAAGGATTGAACTCCGGACCTTCCGCTTGCAAGGCAGGCGGCGCCACTGAGCTAAATCCCCGGCCCCTATGTACTGTTCTTTAGACTTTTCTGTAGATGTGTGTGACTAGGCCAGTGACGTTTGGGCACATATCTTCGCTGTGCGCCTGTTAATGACATGGTTTACTAGCTCTGAGGTTCCACAGGCCCCTTCCCACACCCTTCCTTTGCTATGGGAGAGAAAGCAAACTAAAGCCAGGGGTCCTTTTCCTTCTCCTCATGCGCACCACATTCATCCACTACATCATTTTCCTTGAGTAGAGAATGATGATGAAACAGCCATGGGCATAGCCATGACAGGACTGGCAGAGCCAGGCATGGTGGTGCACACCTGTAATACCCACATTTGGTAGGCTGAGCAGGACCATCTCAAGCTCAAGGCCAGCCTGGGCGTCAATGTGGGCGGGAGCTCCCTAAGTATGTGCTGCTGGCCAGAACTCAGCACTCTGACAAACAATGCCTATCTTATAACAGAAGGGAACCACAGAACCATCCTTGTGGTATGTAATTTGTGGAAAAATGTAAAATAACTATAAACATAGAAAACCTACACATTTGATGCCTAGAAGTACAAAAAATATACATATGCAAACATATGTATGAGTGTGTATATACAAAACAAATGCTTTTATGCATAGAAAAAAGTCTGGGAGGATCTATAACCAAAAAATAGTTACTTCTGGCAGGTGAGATTAGGAGGAACAGAAATTTACACTTTAGGAGTATCATACTATTTGAAGGGCCCAACAGAATGCATACCAATTTTATAATTTAAAAAATGATGTCAGTATGCTTTAAGGGTAAAGGGTCATGATAGTTGTAACCCATCTTCAACTGCTTCAGCAACAATAGATAAAAAAATCTGTATTTCATCTATGTCACACAAGACAGAGACAGACATTGAGAATGCAATTGTGGAAAATGGCAACAATTGGTGTATCAAAATGAAAAGTATATGGAATTTCACCTACTACTCTTGCAACTTTTGTCTGTTTTTGAAATATTTTCAAAACAAAATTAAAACTTAAATAAAAATAAAGCTAGGATGACAGTCAGGTCCTGGGAGGCCACTGCAGATCCAGGGAATGCAGGCCTCAAAGGACCTGCAGGGTCTTGGCAAACCCCTGGCCCTCCAGAAAAGGTAGGGTTTAAATCCAGGCTTTAAACGGCTTTATTTCTTCCAATGTCCTTACAATACTGAAGGACCCCAGGATTTGGATCCAGAAAGAATCATGAACGTAGCTTGGGGTCTGACCAAGGGACTGGAGAAAGCCTCTGTGGATCCTGGCGACCCCCATGATCAGGCCCACAGTCCAGCCAAGTCCAGTTCAGGGCTGCAGCCTGAGACAGAGTCCTCCTCTCCCGATCCAGCCCAGCTTGCCAGAGTTCCTGGGAAGATTCCAGATCAGCTACCAGAAGCCAATGTCCTCACCTCCGATGATCTGCTCCGATGGCATCTGTGACTCTGCTAAAACCCTGCTCTCTGGGAAAAGAGAAAACAGAGCAGTTTCAGCAAAGATGGAAACAGCCTGCTCTTCCAGGAAGCCCAGGTTCGCTAGGACACACCCGCCTCCCTCCCCTGGAACACGGCATGCCCTCTCCCATGTCCACCCAGTTCTGCAGAGCAAGAAGGGAACTGAGTCTCAGCACACATGAATCCCTGACACTGAGCCGGCGTAACTTGATTACTGCTCCATTCTCCCAGGATTCCTCAGGCCACTGACCCTTGAATAAATGGACAACCCTGCCTGTAAACACTACAGCCTCGGGTTTAATCCTGCACTCCCTCGGCCCAGCTTGTCCTTCATCAAGGGAGTAACCAAGTCTTCTCCCCCCACGCTCAGGGTAACCCTCTGTTCCTGAGTGAGCAACAGAGATGAACAGCATCCCTCTGACTTGAGTCTTTCTGGATGGACTTCCCTTGCAAGCCCCACACGGCCCCACTCACTTTAAGAGGGCCTCCAGCTCCCGCTTGACCCTGCCCACCACGGGTGGCCCCCCATAGGTGAGAGCCGTGTACAGCTGCACCAGGGAGGCCCCTGCCCGGATCTTCTCCAGTGCGTCCTGCCCGCTGCTCACGCCGCCAACCCCGATGATGGGGATTCTGCCTGCAGAGAAGCACAGGGCAGCGCCATGAAGGGGCGGGGAGACCCAGCACCTTGGTCTGGCTTCAGCCCCACAGCAGATGCAGGAAGAGTGATCCACCAGCGCCAACCTGGAGCCTGAGCCACACACAAGGGAAGACACAGACACAGACACACAGACAGACAGACAGACAGACAGACAGACAGACAGACAGGCAGACAGGCAGACAGCGGAGGCCTTGCCTTGGGTCAATGCATACATCTCACGGATGGTCTGAGTTGATAAATCTCGGAGAGGCTTCCCACTCAGGCCTCCCGCCTCAGAGTGCAGGACACCACGAAGGCCGGCAGGGCGACTCACTGTGGTGTTTGTCACAATCAATCCATCGATGCCCAGCTGCAATGCAAGACAGAAAGAGGTCTGAGTCAGGGCTCCGAGGGACACACAAGCTTCTCAGGAAGTCTGAGGCAGCCTCCCGGCCAGGGCCACACCTACAGCCCCAGAAGCAAGAGCTACCCAGGCCTCACTTCTCATCTCGAACAAGGGTCAGAACGAGCTTCATTGACACAGCAGCCGTCGCACACTGCCACCCACAACGTTCTGCCAGTAGAGGGTTGAGCCTTAGAACAATCTGCTTTATAGTGTCTTGCCAAGGGGCCCAGGTAGTAAGGGGAAGAAACAGGATTTGAACCCGGGGAGCTGGGGGTGGTGGCAGACACTTGTGGTCCCAGCACTCAGGAGGCTGAGTCAGGAGGATCATTGCAAGTTTGAGGCCAACCTGGGCCACATAGTGAATTCAAAACCAGCCTGAACAACATAGCTAGTTCCTGTCTCCAAAAAAAAAAAAAAAAGGGAAGGGGA